AGAAGCAACGTTCTCTCAAAGATCCTGAATCCTATCGGAGTGTGGTTTTGCCTTTGTGCACAGAAAAAGTCATCCTGACACTTAAGACGCTGGATAAACAGAGATTTCAAATGATTTATTTATTTAGTTATTTGAGACGGAGCATTGTTCTGTTGCCCAGGATGAAGTGCAGTGGTCTGATCTCGGCTCACTGCAACCTTTGCCTCCTGGAACAAAAGATTCTCTTGCCTCAGCCTCCTGAGTAGCTGGGACTACAAGCATACACCACCATGCCCAGCTAATTTTTTTGTATTTTTGGTAGAGACAGGGTTTCACTATATTGCCCGGGCTAGTCTTGAACCCTGAGCTCAAGCAATCCACCTGGCTCAGCCTCCCAAAGTGCTGGGATGACAGGCATGGGCCACCATGCCCAGCTTTAAAATGATACTTTCTAAAAGCCCCACAGCTATGAATACATGCATATGTACTGCTTCAACTTGCAATCTTTTTTTTTTTTTGAGATGGAGTTTCGCTCTTGTTACCCACTCTGGAGTACAATGGCACGATCTCAGCTCACCAAAACCTCCGCCTCCTGGGTTCAAGCAATTCTCCTGCCTCAGCCTCCCGAGGAGCTGGAACTACAGGCATGTGCCACCATGTCCAGCTAATTTTTGTATTTTTAGTAGAGATGGAGTTTCACCATGTTGACCAGGATGGTCTCGATCTCTTGACCTCGTGATCCACCTGCCTCGGCCTCCCAAAGTGCTGGGATTATAGGCGTGAGCCACCGTGCCCGGCCTTGCAATGTTTTAAAAGCAGAGAATGTGAGGCCAGTGGTGAAGGGGTGAACTGCTGAGCTGGCAGGTTAGGGTTAGGGTTATGGTTAGGGTTGCTGGCAGGTTGACCCAAGCAAGTTCTTTCTCTTTTAGGCCAAGAAACACTCAGGTCAGCAGCAGCAGCAGCAGAGAACAGAGAGCACTGCAACCAGACCTGGGCCTGAGAAAGCAGTCCTGTCTTCAGGTAATGTGCTGTTACGGCTGCCTCTGCTTTGGTACAGACATAAATGTCAGTGGCACGTTGCTCCTGTCTGCCCTCTGTGCCTCTGCTTACAAGCCCAAGCTCTTTTTCTTCCCATTATTATGAAAATGATATCCTAAGCACCAGGAAGACAACATCATCTACTGTCTAACAGGCATGCAAGTACCAGGCCCTACATCAAGTCCTTGGCCTTGAGAGGCAACTAGATGTATGCCCATTTTCAGATGAGGAAGTGAGGCTGAAAGAACTTACATATTTCCGGCTGGGCACAGTAGCTCACGCCTATAATCCCAGCACTTTGGGAGGCCAAGGTGGGTGGATCACAAGGTCAAGAGATCAAGACTATCCTGGCCAACATGATGAAATCCTGTCTCTACTAAAAATAGAAAAACCAGCTGGGTGTGGTGGTGGGCACCTGTAGTCCCAGCTACTGAGGAGGCTGAGGCAGGAGAATCACTTGAACCAGAGAGGCGGAGGTTGCAGTGATTCAAGATTGTGCCACTGCACTCCAGCCTGGGTGACAGACAGACTCTGTCTCAAAAAAAAAAGAACGTATGTATTTCCCCCATCATTCCACAACTCATAAAGGCCAGAGATAAAATTTGAGCATCAACCCGTCGAACGCTAAAGCTCATGATCTCCCCCACTGAACTCTGCTCAGGACGGAAGGCCAACTTTTAACCTACGGCTGCCAGTCTGGGGAGCCTGGCTTGTCAGTTGGCCTGGCTAGACTCACTGGCTTTGGGGGGACCTGCTATCTGCCTCTCTCTACCCCATCAGGCAGATGAGCGTCTTTCTGGTTTATGCCCAATGTCCATGTCATGAAGTGATGGCCCCAGCTCTGCCCCAGGGCTGGTCCTGAGTGCCAGGCGTGTGTGCAAATGGCCCAAAGCTCATTCAGATGAGGTCTCCATGACCTCATCCATCCTGGGCTCATCCTTGATCAGGGCAGTAGTGAGCCAGCTAAAACTCTAGGAGCTTAAGTTGTCATGAGAGAATGCAGTAAGACACGATTAATTGTGTTTCCCATGTGCTTCTGAAGCCATCGATCATCACAAGGCCAAGTGCTAACAAGAACATTCCTCATCAGATCCTAGTAGTAAGCATTATCTGCATGTGAAATTCACAGTTTAAGATGCTTTCCCACACATCTCCTCCTCTGGTCTTGTTGTCAAGCAGATAAAGCAGGTATTTTTCTACTATATAGGCATTATCTTTTGTGAGGTGTAACAAATGCAGCCAGGTGGTTAGGATAGGCTTCCTGATTCTAAGGCCAGAGCTCTCCCACTCACCCCTGGCTTACTGAGTTTGCTCCTGTTTGCTTCTGCAGTGGCTACTGGGAGTTCCCCTGGCATTACCCTGACAACGTATTCAAGGTCTGAGTGCTATGTGGGCCTCTTCAGGACTTCAGAGGAGGCCCATACCCTTTCAGCTACTACCAGCAGACTGTCAGTGAAACAGCTGGTCATCCGCCGTGGGGCTGCTCTGGGGGCGGCATCAGCCACACTGATAGTGGGGCTCGCAGTCAGGATCCTGACCACCAAGCACTAACAAAGAAGGTCAGAAACAGAAAGCCAGGAGTGGCCATTCCCAGTACCCAAACACACCATGGTCTGCCCTGCAGAAGTGCCAATGGGGTCCAGGGCAGGTGGACACTTTGAACGACTCCTCAGAAAAAGAACTTTGGCTGATTCCTTGTAGTGACATTCAGAGGGGTCTGAACAGAGCAGACTGGCCATTCTGTTCCGGTCAAACAGGACTTTTCTCTGACCTGGATTGCTCTATAGAAGACATCAGCCAAATGCATGAATCAGAGTCCAGGGATTGCCACTAGTATTAATAATGTAAATGGCTTCAAATGAGAGACTGCAGATAAAATCACAAAACTACTATTATATTAAAGATTACACATTTCCTAGGCACAGCCTGCCACTCAAGTCTGTCATAAAGCCTCTGTGAAGCCCTGAGAAGGGGGCCAGCGGGCCCTGTCCAGGCAACCCCTGTGCGCCCCCCGCAGACACAGGTGCTGTGAGACCCTGACCAGGGCGGGTGGCTGTCCATACACCCTTCTTCCCCTTTTCTCCAGTTCTTTTATTCCATCACCATTTTCACTTATTAAAGACTTTAAGAAATGCTCGTTCTCACTGTACGTTTTCTTCTAGTAGTGACATGATAGAAATAAGGGCACAAAACAACTAGGAACAGAGCATAGCAAAGTCATCACTGAAGCAATTCCAGACTCTGTGCCACTGTTTGCCCAAGTGTGCTCCACGGTTAACAGGTATTAAGATAAACCGCATGGCGTCAAGGAAGTCTAGGAAAGTGCTTCAGAGGTTCTGAAATACTTGGGTCCTTTAGTTTGCTGATGTGCTTTACAAGCCAGCGTTATACAGGACTGGTGACAGGACCATTTTTTGTGTAAAATCTTGTGGGATTAGTGTTCTATGAATATGCCTACAGAAACACTTGTTGTAGATCAGCAGCTGGGTATAGGAGGATGCCATTGGAAAAAACCTATTTACTGTAGCTACTAAGCCCCACACCCACCAACACATACAGCAGAACATAAAGTTTGGGAAAATCTTCTCGGCTAAGATTTTTTTTTTTTTTTTTTTTTTTTTTTTTTTTGAGACAGAGTTTTGCTCTTGTTGCCCAGGCTGGAGTGCAATGGCGTGATCCCGGCTTATCACAACCTCTGCCTCCCGCGTTCAAGCGATCCTCCTGCCTCAGCCTCCCGAGTAGCTGGGATTACAGGCGTGCACCACCATGCCTGGCTAATTTTGTATTTTTAGTAAAGACGGGGTTTCTCCATGTTGGTCAGCCCATCAGTGGGCTGGTCTCGAACTCCCGACCTCAGGTGATCTGCCTGCCTCAGCCAACCAAAGTGCTGGGATTACAGGCGTGAGCCACCGTACCCGGCCTTGACTAAAAATTTTAAAATGAGAAAGCATGACAAAAAAAGTTGACAAATACCATCTATAATAAAGACATAAAAGGATTTATAGTTGGGGAGAATTTATGATCAAAGGACTGTCTCCAATGGGGCATATCTGAGGTTCCACACCAAGAGTATCATTAAAATTGACGCCAATTTTATGAAATTTATTTCTTTTGAAGCAGATATGTATTAGTGGACAAGCCAATAATTGAAACATACCAAATGAAAATTCCATAGTGCAATTTTATCTAAGGTATTTTATGATTACTCTCTTAGAGCCACAGTAAGCAGCTTTTTCCTAAACTAGGCTAGTTATTAATTCTTGACACTTTATGCTATGATGAAGCCATCACATACTTGAGACAGCCTTAATAAAACTAATTATTCAACAAAGTTGATTTTACATTCTATAAATTACATTCTCTCATTGAGTGAGCTGAGTCTTTTTGAGTGTGGGGACGTGGAGTCCCTGTAGTCAGGAGCTCGAAGGCACAGTACAACACTGCTCTGCCCTGTCCTGCCCCATCCAGCAGTAACACTGCATTCCACAGGCCTCTTCTTCAGCCTTGCCCACTCAGCTGAGTACCTCAGGTGGTGGCCACAGCAACTGATGAGAATAACTTCTCACTTGCTCAAGGGATCGTCTTGCCATCCATCCCCTTCAGTATGACCAACTGCAGTGGCTTGCTTGCTTCTTCTGTACAGCATCTGTAACCCCTTCCTCCCCCACATAGAGCTTTAGTGCCTGAAATCTCATAGGGAATTGGGAAGATCTAACCTCACCTCTGGACTACAGAGGACTGCTGGTAGCCCTGGGAAGTACCAAGCTCTTGAAAGCTTCACACAATGATAGGGGCAGCTGGTGGGCACTGCCATTAACTGGAGTCAAGGACTCACTGAGTAGGTTCTGAGACTGCCTTACAAGCCCCCAAAGTTTGTATTTAGTCTAATACATTCTCCTCCCCTAGCTCAAAGCTCCAAGATTTAGATAAGCACAATCTAAGATAGGTTCCCTGAATACCCTATTAGGGAATGTTGGGATTTGGCTAAAATGGCAACTTTTATTAATGATGAATAGCAATGATCTTTGAGTTTGATCACGGTGTGTTTGCATATTTTCTTACTCCTTTTGGTAGGATTTAAAAATTATTGGCTCATTAACCATTTAAAAGAGGAATAATTCAGTAGAGGCACTATGAGGTTGAACAGGATCATTCTTCAGTAATATTCAGCCTGGAGAGAGGAAAAAGGGATCCAGTTTACTCAGCTGCTTTGAAAACCCACCCACAACCAGCCTTGCAACACAAGCTCAGCACTGGGACTCACCTCCTGTCTAAGAGAATACATGCATTGGGCTAAAGGATTATGTCCTTCCTCAAAAAACAACAATAACAATAATGAGGCGGCATGATGATGTAGGCTATATTCTGTCTACTGTCAATTAGCTGATGTCAGAGTAGAGACCGAAGATGAAAGTACTAATTTACTATCCTAGCATTTTCAGTAGGAAGCTGAAGTCTCTACATGGAATTCAAGAACTGATAAACGAATTTTTGTTTCTAAAATTCAAAAGTAGGCCAGGCATGGTGGCTCACACCTGTAATCCCAGCACTTTGGGAGGCCGAGGCGGGCAGATCACAAGGTCAAGAGATTGAGACCATCCTGGCCAACATGGTGAAATCTCATCTCTACTAAAAATACAAAAATTAGCCGGGCATGGTGGTGCATGCTTGTAGTCCCAGCTACTTGGGAGGCTGAGGCAACAGAATCACTTGAACCCAGGAGGCAGAGGTTGCAGTGAGCTGAGATCGTGCCACTGCATCCAGCTGGCGACAGAGCGAGACTCCATCTCAAAAAAAAAAAAAAAAAAAATTCAAAAGTAGTACTGAATTTAATCCATCCCATTGAAGCCCGAGGAAGGGCTGGTGCAATCTCAAGGTTCAAATGTCGTATTTGGTTGTCAAAGTCCTAATATTTATCAACATTAACCTCTTATGTTTCTCAACCTTTTAAAACTCACATCTCCCACAATGCCTTTTGTAGCTTATAAGCTTTATTGGAACTTTACTTTGTGTACAGTACTTATGCTAATTCTAGTAAGGTAATTAATAAAATCAAATCCAAGGACATAACAAAATAAGGAAACTAGTAAGTACATAAAAGCCATTTCAGAAAAATGTTTGTAATTACAATAAATAGACTCCTCAGTAGTGTATTTTGAATACAGATTCAATACTCCTCTGTATTTTGAATATAGATTCAGTCATTTGTTTAAAATAAAGGTAACCTGATAAAAAAGGATTAAAAGCTCAGAGAGGAGCAGAAAAGCAGCAGAGTGGAAAAGAAAACCAAATCTCTACGTGGTTCCAGACTGAATCCAAAGAAATATTAACAGCTAATAGCAATGAGAATTGAGAGAGCGGGTTGACAGTGGCCTGGGGAATCACTGACATCTACTCCCTCATCCTATAAATGAGCAAGCTGAGGCCCAAGGAAGAGCTCAGAAAAGGCTTTGGCCCAAGGTCATAATTAAGGCAACATCAAGCCAGGAATCAAAACACATTTTCTTGTTCCTGCTAAAGGTTTTATATGTTGCTGCTTCTCTAGACCCTCACAGAGAAACATGTCTGCCAAACCATTTCAGGAACTCAAACCTGCCTGGCACAGGGCACCGTACCTGGGGGAGCTTCTTGGGAGTTCGGTAAGCCTAGAAAATGCAGACTCAGCCTGGACCTCTGTATTTTCCGTGAAGCTAAAAAAAATTCTATCCCAACCAAGATGCGTTATCAGGCTGGGGAACCGAGGTCTTGGGATAATAACAAAAGAGGCAGATAATAATCAGAGACCCAAGCAAGCCTCCGACCACACCTCCAGCCTCAGGAAGGGAGAGAAGAAAGTAGATAGCTGCTAAATTGCATACACCTTGATTTATGACATTCGCTGCCATGAATCCCAAAGTCAAACCTTATTTAAAAAATGAAAACAAATCAAAACTACTCAGTGATTTTTAAAATACTATTCTTAAATTACGACACAAAGAGTTTAGTGCCCAGATGGTGACAAGTCTCAGTTAGTCAGCTGGCACTTCCTCCAGGAGAGCTGAGTAGATGGGGAAGAGAAACGAGGCTCACACTCGGCCGCCCTGTTCCTAGAAATGATGTATGCTTCACCTGGACCCAATAAGCCATTGTCTCTACACACTTCTCTTAGATTCCGAGCAAGTCGCCCAACCCTTTTAAAACTGTGGATAGGTGGAGTTTTAACACCCTGATACTCTGGGCCCAAGTCCAAAATGCCTAGAGACAAGTAAGTTAAGCATTCTTTTTTCAATAACCTCTAAGCCTCCAACTGTAGAAAAAAAAAAAAAAAAAAAAAAACCAAAAAAACCCTTGAAAACATACCCCAACTTGGCCCACCTTATATAGAAAAAGAAACCAAGAAGTTCCTACCTCACTCTTAACAGACAGGGCTGGGTTTTGAAATCTGCTGTTCATCTCTGTTTACTGGACCAACGCAGTCTGTGAACTACCAGAAAAATCAACAGGGCCTTTCTCCTCAGCACAGCTTGGTATTTCTGAGAAAACCCAAATGATTTTCAAATGCAACTGTTATCTCCAATTCCACTAAAGCTGGGATACTGTAAGACGAGCCAATCCTCCTTCAAATTTTAAACAAAACATAAACACAGCTATTTCCATTGCCTTTTCCAAGCCCATTCTTCACAGACGTGGTCGATATTTTCAATTTTATCTCCGCTGAGGGTGCCATAGACATAATCACCTTCCTCATTCCATCTTAACTTTAATTATCATGGATTTCCCCTTTTACCCCAAGATATGCAAGCTGCCTTGAGAAGGCCTCTTTGCAAGGCCACCTCTATAATGACTGATCACCAAAGATAAACTTTATCAGGTAGTCAACTCTGGGGGAAAAGCACTCAAGCCTGATAAAATACCCCTCACCAAAGCTCTTTCACCAGCACTACCATCCACCAGAGTTCTTGCCTCCATCTCCATGGCAAGCTGATTTCATGCACATTCAAGAACAAAGCTGGGAGTGACAAGGAAAACCCAATACTGAAAGGATCAAAGGGTTAGACAGCTCAGAATTTTGCAAGCAAGTTCTACACCATTTTAACTGTTAGACCAGAGGTCAGCAAACTTTTCTGTAACAATTTAGGCTTTGAGGGCCATTCAGCCTCTATTGCAACTACTCAGCTCTGTCACCATCCCGTGAAAGCAGCTGTGGATAAGTGGGTGCAGCTGTGTTCCAATAACTTAAGCGACAAAAGCAGGTAGCTGGCCAGCAGGCTGTGGTTCACTGACCCTGACTTAAGACTCTACAAGTTAATGTAGAATCTTGCTAGAATAGGCATCTGGCAGCCATCGGGCCAGAACGAATGGCACTCATGGGTAACAGGGACTCACCTTGACAAGCACAGCTGCTACAATACCCAGGAAAGTGAGCAACAGGAGACCGAGTTTTTCTTTGTTGAACCGTTTCAAGAGAAAAAATTTTCCCCAGTCCACCTTTGACTGGCTGTTGGGAGGATATCTGAGTTTGTTAGCACCTTCTCTCTTTAAACTTTTTAATAAACAGGGACGCTGATGAGAAAAAGTATCGAAAGTATGTTTTCCATGATAAGCTCCCATTCCACTGGAACCTGAAGTAAAGGGAACAGATAAAGCAAGCTTCACTGTAGATGATGCAAGCTACTTCTGTCTAACAATGACCAAGAAAGCCCACATGCACTCCCTGCTGCTTGGGTGCCCCCACTAAACCTCTCTAACAGCCGAATTATCTCTTTTCAGGAAGTTATTACCAACTTCCCTGGAAAAGTCAATGTCCCTGTCAAACAGGATGCTTTCCAAGAGCAAGACAAGGACTTGCACCTCTGCTAGGGCTGTGGCCCTCGTATATGCCAGGGACTGTGCTAAGAGTTTAAACCATTCTCTTAAGATAATTCTCACCACAATCCCACTTGGTGAATTATCAGCAGCCTCACTTCCAGAGAGAGAAAGGGAGCTTACAGGGTCAGTTAACTTGCCCAGAGCCACATGGCTGGTAAGTGGCAAACCCAGAACCTGAACCCAGATCAGACTCTGAATGCTACGTGTGCTTTCCTCCCACCATTCCATGTGGCTTCATTCATCCATGGTCCCACTCACCCACCTGTTTTCTCTAAGCCTGTAGAAAGTAAGAGTGACAGAGTTGCACAGCTGGGTGATAATAAGCAAGTATAAATCTCTGCCCTCCACAAAGCCATGTTCTGTGACAGTTTTCATTTCTCTAATTCATTGTGTATACAACAAGCTGACAGGCGCAAAGGGGAGCAGTGTCTGCTGGGCAGAGGGAATGGCATGTGTGACGTAAGACAGAGGTGACCAGAGGCCAGGGAGCAGTTTACCAGGGCCAGGCTGCAGGAAGGAATCATTCATGAAGCAGCCCTGGTGTGAGAAGAGACCCGAGGACAAGACCCTGAGAAACCCTGACAATGAGGGAGGGTAAAGAATGCGGGAGGGGCCAGCCAATGACATAACCAAGGTAGTAAGAAACTGGGAAAAATTTGGGAGGTTGACACAGGAGGACTGCTTGAGCCCGGGAGTTCAAAGTTGCAGTGAGCTCTGATTCAGCCACACTGCATTCTGGCCTGGTCAACAAAGCGAGATCCTGTCTCAAAAAATAAACAAACAAATAAAAAGCAAAAAACTGACATAAAGGAAATTACAAAGTTTTGTTGAAAGATATAAAAGGGTTATATAAATGAAGAGATGATATAACATATTCCCATTAAGACTCCACGTTTCAAAGATATAAATTCTTCCCAAAATAATTTAAGTTTAAATCAGATTTAATCCAAATCCCAGGGGATTTCAGAAGGTTTTTTTTCTTTTTCTTTTTTTTTTTTTGTAGGAAAAGGTAGTGATTCCAAAGATCACCTGGAAAAACAAATTTAGATAAGAACTAGAGAAAAACACTGAAAAACAGTAATAATGAGAAACGTTAACGTTTAGATATTTCAATAGTGCTGCGTCCTAAAGAGCAAGCTACTGGGTTGGTTGAATTTGTGGGTTTTAGAGTCAGGCAACTTTGGCTCGTTTCTTAGTTGTTTTAATAAGACAACTTATTAGCTGTCTGTCTCTAAAATGCGTGCATTTGGCCAGGCGCAGTGGCGCATACCTGTAATCCCAGCACTTTGGGAGGCTGAAGTGGGAGGGTTCTTGAACCCAGGAGTTCAAGACCAACTTGGGCAACATAGTGAGACCGCATCTCTACAAAAAAATTTTCTTAATTACCCAGGCACAGTGGTGCACATTTGTAGGCCCAGCTACTCAGGAGGTTGAGGTGGGAAGATTGTTTGAGCCCAAGAGGTTGAGGCTGCGGTGAGCCATGATTGCACCACTGTACTCTAGCCTGAGTGACAGAGGAGACCATATCTCAAAAAAGAAAAGAAAAGAAGGCTGGGCTCACTGGCGCACGCCTGCAATCCCAGCATTTTGGGAGTCTGAGGCGGGCAGATCATGAGATCAGGAGGTCAAGACCATCCTGGCCAACATGGTGAAACCCCGTCTCTACTAAACATACAAAAATTAGGTGGGTGTGGTGGCGTGCACCAGTAGTCCCAGCTACTTGGGAGGCTAAGGCAGGAGAATCACTTGAACTGGGGAGGCGGAGGTTTCAGTGAGCCAAGATCGTACCACTGCACTCCAGT